TCTTTACTATGTTGTTATAAAGATGGCAAAAGTACAAAACAGGGTTAATGGTGATAGACATAATCAAAATTATATTAAAAAAAACATCTACCCCTACCCCCCCCCAAAAAAAGTCCCCCTAAATATTTCTGTGCGTTTTTTTCAGGGACTGATAAACTTGAGAGAGCAGGAATCTGTCTGGTATAAAGACCTGAATAGGTATATGACCGTAGCTTTGCTCCACCGAATTCCACTGTTTACAGACTTTTTACTGGAACACTACTAGGCTACTAGATATCTGTGATTATTAATCATAGATATTTTTACCTTTGATTCAGTATTAAAGATATTATCAAGAAACTGTTCTTCAGAATCTCACTTTTTAATTAGTCTGTGTAGTACTTTGACAATGGAAGTTTTATGTAATTGACAGCTAAGGTTTTTTGGGGTTGGTGGTTTTTGTTTTGTTTTGTTTTGTTTTTCTCCTCTGAAATCTAGGTCAAGCTGTCAGTTGCCCTGCTATCTCAGACCTCCCCTGCAGTATATTTTCTAGTGTCCTGTCGAACAGTTCTAAATGTCTCAAAATAAGGGACTTCTGTCTTTCAGAATGAGAAGTTACTGTGTTTTCCAGTTAGATTCTAGCCACTTCCAGTCCTGTTAACATTATCTTAGCTTACACTGGTGTTGTGCAGTTTATCAGAGTGGTCCATCTTTAGTCCCTGAATCAGCAGGATCCAGATTCCAGTGTTTGGACTTCACCATCTCATGTGGCTACTCACCTCCCTCCCATCTCAGTCGCAACCTCATGGCTGTGGAGCATCAGCCTTCCTACCACCTCACTACTTGCATCTCATATGGTCCCTTACTGCCTTTTTTTACTTGCTCAGCTTGCTGTCTAAGCTGCTAAAATAGCAGCAAAAGTGGCAGTCGTCAGGATGGAGGAACTGAGATTGTGTTAACAGTAGAGCTTCATACTTAATCTGGCACTGTGGGTTCAATGTTACAAGTGTAGTCAGTTTTACTAATCATTAACTAGTGTACTATATGTCTTAATACTAGTATTACCAGTTGGAAATGTAGTACTGTATCGCTTAGGTAGAAAAGAAAAATGTTTGACACACTTTTTTCCATCCCTTCTAAGAAGATACTAGTAGCAACAAAAATAAATCTAAAACCATAGAGACAACAGATAGCCATAATACTCTCTTCTGGACCTATCCTTTCTTCATATTATATTTTCCTCTGTTTTTACTGCTTTGTGTGATCCTTTTTAAAACATCTTAAAAAGTATCAACAGAGGAGATTAAATACCTTTTAATAAGCAGTATTTAAGTGAGCTATAACAGAAAAATTATTTTTAAAACAAATTGGATTAATAGTGAAAACAACAACAAAACAACCCAATTTCCCTGTTATGCGTATAAAAATGTTTGCTATTTGCAGAGAAGAAACTGAGAAAAATTGTTTATTTTTTGTTAGCATGTCATAGTTTGCTATTTTCATTAGAATTATGGATTTGTACACATAGCATGCACCCGACATTCCCTGTCCTTCTCTAAAAAATAATAGAACAGTTCTTGGAGCAAGAATGTGTGGGCTTTTCAATAAAATAAGGGGCAACATTAGATGCAAGAAAACTTATGGTTCTATTCACCTAATAATTAGAAGTATAATAGAAATGAGTAAATTTTAGTGACTAATCAAGGACTGATATACAAGTTTCATATAATGCTATATTTGCTGTTTTTTCTAGTGGCCAAATGTAAACCTAAGGAACTATAAAGATGAACAATTGCACAGGTATGTAAAAATTGCATAGACTTGCTTTGAAGAAAGAAATTTGGAAAAACTGGGTTTTAATGTTGCAATAAACTATTCCTTGATGTGTCACATTTCTAAAACTTAATCTATAGATAAGCAGCAAAAATGAAAATTTAGATAATCAGGTTGCAATATTTGCTTTAAATAAACAGGTCTTTATGCTTTAGTGGTTTCTTTTCTATGCACAGATACTTTATATATTTACCCCCTAAACAAGAATCATATCAGCTTTGCAAATGCCCTATTTCATTTTAAACCTTAAAGTATTACCTCTTTTGATATTTCATACATTAGTGTTTGATGTCAGCACTTGACAAATTTTGACAGAATAGGTCTACAGTTGTACAGTTATATAGTTACAGCTTTCATCAAAAACCAAGAGGAAGTTATTTCTAGTTGCTATTAAAGGCAAGGGAAGCATGTGTGATTTGAAAAGTCAATCAGTACAGCTCTGATTCCTTTCATGTCTGTTGGCATTAAGGCATTTTTATTACTTTGTGGTAAAGGATTATTTACCAAATCTGGTGGTTTATAACATTGCTTCTCTAAAGGAAAATCTGCAGTTCTGGCTGTGACACTCACATCCATTCCTCTACCTACCTACCTGGGACAGCTTTCCTGTTCCTTGGTTTTGTGCTGCACTCAAGCATTGTTCAGTGCCTAAATAATTAAATTCTAAATAAATTGAGAAAACATAGGATTGAGTTACTGTAAAGCTTCTACAGTTGATTGATCCTTTCTACAGGATTGTGGGTTAGATGCTTTAATGGCTTTAAAATGCTGTTGTTCTTGTTTAATTATAACTAATTAACCCCCAAATCTCTCTAGTTTAAATGCTGATCATAAAAAATTTTCAGCCACTTTGTTTTTGAAGTGTAAAGTAAATTTATTTGGCCCTCCATAAGATGTTTTTTTTTCTTTTACTGTTAGTGTTTTTGTGATGATCTTATGGCTGTTAAAGTGAAATTCAAGGTATTTTTGATATAGATCCCTTCATTTCATAGAGATACAGTTAATGCAGTGTGTGTATACACATGTACGTGTATATACATACATATATACACACTTAAGTGTACATATGTATATATACACTCACATGTAAATGTGTGTGCTATTATATATAATATATTTGTTGCTAATAACCCAGAATAAAATACACTTCATTTGACAAAATTTAAAGAAGCCCTCAGATTTCCTTTATAATTGGTCCTGTGTTTGGAGTTGGGATAGGGGCTTACTCTCACTTTTTTAACTAAAGGCAGTGCTTTAGTTACGCTTTCTTAATGCTTGACATATCTACCTTCAGGCAGAACATTCTGTGTTCTTTTAAAGCACAAATGTGTTTATTTTTTGAGTAAGAATTGGCAAGGGGAAGCTCTTTGAAGATTTATTCCTGCAATGCAAAATTCAAGCTAAATTGCTCACCATGGTTTCAAAAAGTCTGAGTGAGAGTCTGCATTTGCAATCACTGTGTTATGCTTCAGAAATGCTTAAGTGAGGTGAATGAAAATGCTGTTGCTGAATAAATATGGCCTTTTTCTGGCAGAACATAAAACTTTTTTTCACAGTAGCGTTAACTATTATAGCTAAAGAAAAGTCATGTCACAAATGTTAAGACAGACTCTTCTTTAGCTCTTTGTAAGTCTAGATAGTATAGTCTTTGAAATTCACCACAGGATAAATTACAGCAGAATAAATTATAAGCATGAGAATGAGAAGGAAGCTATGGCTTCTAAGAGCATAGAGATTTTGAGTTCCTTTGCTTATTTTAAGTCATGGCATAGAAAACCCTTTATAACAAACAGTACAGCTGCATCTCTGAAATCGTGTCTGGATAGACTCATTACTGATACCTGCTACTCTCTTTTAATAACTTTTGAAAATTTATTGCCAATAAGCTAATTTAGTGATAAAATATCTTTTATACCAGCATCATTTTGTAATGTGAGACTGTCCTTGTCTTACTGAAAAATAATAAATTCTTTTTTACTTTCCGTAGGTTTGTAAGGAGATTGCTATATTTTTACAAGCCTAGCAGTAAACTGTATGCCAACTTGGATCTGGACTATGCCAAGGCTAAGCAGCTCACTGTGGTGGGTTGTCAGTTTACTGAATTTCTTCTTGAATCAGAAGAGGTAAGAAATTTACAGCTACAAGACTGGAGGTAGAATAAGTAGTGCTGCTGTATGCCACTTAGAGGAAAAAAGAACTTAATTTTAGTAAAGACTTCTGTAGACTTTGGGTGTTAAACCTAAAATGATCAGCGTAATTAAGAAATATAACTTAAAATCTTGAATTGTCCAGATAAGACACTGGGGAGATGACTGTGTTTAAGTAGGAGTTTTATTAAATGCAGCTTTATTAAATGCAACTTAGGGTTTGGTTGTGGGTTTTTTGTTTCTGTTGGGGTTTTTTTTGTTTGGTTGGCTTTTTTGGGTTTTGTTTGTTTTTTTTTTCTTTGTTTCTCTGCCTCCTTTCTTCTTGTGTGCTAAAGACTTTTATGCCTCTGGCCAGAGGAAAATGTCATTGAACAATCCTTTTCTTGGGAAGAATAGAATTGGTCCTAAGATGTCTCCAAGCTAAACTCCTTTTATTTGCCTTGAACTTTTTTCTTTAGTCTGAATTGTGTTTGCCAAACAGCATTTCTATTTTGTATCTGTACTGTGTTTGTACATTTTAAGAAATTTTAAACAATGGATTTCAGTGAAGAAGAGAGACCCAGTTCTGTTACTAGTAAATGCTATTACTCTTTGTTTTGTTAGGATGGACAAGGTTACCTGGAGGAATTGGTTAAAGATATTGTAAATTGGCTCAACTCTTCATCGGGAATGAAACCTGAACATAGTCTTCAAAATAATGGGTTACTAAATACCCTTAGCCAGCACTACTTTCTGTTTTTTGGTACACTCTCTTGTCACCCTCATGGAGTGAAAATGCTTGAAAAATGTAATGTGTTTCAGTGGTGAGTGTTTTTATTCTGTTTGAATTGTGCTTACGGGTATAATTGTTATGAAACTTGTAAACTGTGCATGAGGACCACTGTCTATAGAGCTGAAAACCTTAAAATTATTTTGATTTATTTTCAAGTAAAGATCCTCAGTTGTGGGGGTTTTGGGTGGTTTTTTAAGAGATCTTTTAGTCTGTCTTGCTGAACAGATATGAGTGATTATGTTACAAAATAGCTTACTTTTTCCTGTCCACACCTATCTGACAGAAATCAGTATCAGGGAAGGATGATACTGTACTGAAATGTTTTTTTTTAAAAAAAAAAAAGGCAAAAAAACCCGCCAACAAACTGGTAGGTATACTGTGTGTGAAATGTGATGATGCATGTTGTACCTAAACTTCAGTCCAATACCTTTGAGTAAAGCTGTGGAGTTCAAAATTTTGTTTGGGTACAAATAAACTTACCTTCCTTTGGGAGTAATTTGGCCAATGGCCAGTTTATTTCAAATATAGTAAATTTTAAGAGAAAATTCAGCTGTTTTGATGTACTCTTTTTTAAATTAAGTTGTTTTTATTGCTTATTAGAATGCAAGTTTTTTACTGGCTACAGAAAACTTCATTTACAATAAAATCTAGATAGTTAATAGGACTAACCTTATGGCAAGCTGTATACACAGAATGTTTTACAGTGTGGAATTGTTCACAGAGCTTCACGAACATTTATTTTTTTGTACTCATAATCACCAATCCAAGTATACTGACAAAACTGTTACATAGCAATTATTAAAAAACTGTTGGTTTGGTGTTTTTTTCCTTGCAGTTTAGTGCATTATTTGGTCTCCCTTTGACTCTAACAGCTGTAACAGTTTAAAGTCACTCCGTTTAATATGAGACCTTACTTTGTATTCTTCTGCGTTTATAGAACTGAAAATCTAATTCAAAGTACTTAAGTTTAAATTATTGATTGAATAAATAAGTGCGTTTGAGCGGGTTCAAATACTAATTTTTATATTCCCCCCCCCTAGACGTTTATTTTGTTATTCAAGGTGTGTGACTTTATTCTTAAGATAATATATATGCAGAAAGGTTTTTATTTTTTTATTTAGAGAAATGAAACTCCTACTCATATAGCTTTTGAATTTGCTGTGGACTTCATACCTTGTATTGTATTTGTGCTCAAGAAATTAAGTCAAACAGATGTTTCTCTCATGTATGAAGGGGGTTAAAGTCTTTAAATGAATAAACCAAATATAACATTATTGTCTAGGTCAGTGGACATCCTAAACCAATGGTGAAGGCATTGTTTTCACAAATAGAAATGGTGTATTTCTAGCAGTAATAACCAGGTTAACCTTCCAGTGATAGATATCATTTTGATAATGATTGAGATTACTGTGTTGGAACTGAATAGAAGCTATAGCTCCTGGAACAAGGGGGTGGTTCAGAAATAGGCATTGGGATTTGTACTTCTGAATCAAAGAAGGTGAGTGGAAATAAGATGCAGACATAGGAAAGGAAGCTCTTGAACCTTTAAGAAAAGAGAAATCAATCAGGTGTCATATAGTAGACAAGCAAGCATTAATGTCAGGGAAATGACAATTATTAAGTTGAAATCTAATTAGGAAAGAACTTTTAGTACTTCAGGGAGAGCTGAGATCTCGTATTTAGGAAGAGGAGAGGGAAAGAAAGAAATCAAGGATATTTCTCTGAGACTATCAAAGATGTGATGATTCTTATAGGTAGAGAGAGGAGTCTGAAAGTAATAAAGATAGATGGGGTTGAAGGAATGACTCATTGAAAGAAGAGGGTAAGACTCCCTACTGACTGATTTTTAAGTAATCTTTCAAAGAAGTGATGACTTTGATATCCTTTCTCCAAAGGTGTTTTATGCCTAGTCTGAGCAAGGAAATAGAAATTCATATGTTGTGAGGACACATGCCTGTGTCTTTATTAGACTTCTAAGCTCCTGTTAAATGATTGCTGGTTAAGAGCAGTTTAGACAGTGGAACTTTATTCAGCTGTTTCTATTGAGATTTCATGTCAATGGATACTGGCCCCCTGCATCACCTCCCAGCTATTTTTCCTTCATAAAAAGAGGCCGTACAAGGGGGAAGAGCACTCCAGCATTTCAGTTTCTTCCAAATGCAGCTAGTTAACAATTAGAAAAAAGTCCAGGCGTGCTGTCACAGTCTCCTCAATGAGATATACAGTTCCACAGATAATTTTAGGCATTTTATTATGAATTAGTGTTTGTGTTTTAGATTTTAGGAAAGATTTACTGATCCTGATATCTAAGGTATGAGGACTTAAATTCTGTTTTGAGAGAGATTCTTCCAAACATTTTCAAGCATCCAGTACTTACACCAGAAACTTTATGTAAGTAGGAATGGGTTGATCATCTTCCAAATGTTCTATAAAGACCTAGTTTTAACTTTTTTTTATCAGGGGGGGATGACAAAACAGAATATATTCAACTCTGATACAGGTATCCCTAGCTGTAAGCAGACTGGCTTGAAGTGAGGTGCAGATACTGTCTGAAAATACTGTCCCAAGCATATACAAAGCCAGAAAACAGTTGAGAGCTACCGCTGCCGTTAGTGATGATAACTAAAAATACAATTTCCACCTATTTGTAGTTCGGCTTAATGAACTTAACAATGGAATGGTATGTATTAATTCAGAATCTAGAAGACAAATTGTGATTTTTTTGATTCTGTATGCTGCCTCTGGCTTCTAAATTATGTTTAAATTATGTTTAAAAACAATAAAAATGCATGGAACTGGGCATAATTTCTAAAAAGCTGTGTTTTGTAAGGGAGAAAGACCATCTCCAGTAAAGCTTCTTCCCTTCAGAAACTTTAATTCCCTGAGATGTTTTTTAATGAAATATTTTTAGTATCTGTTTATTTCAAGAGCTGAAGATGCTCTTTTTCATGAGTTAACTGAGGTTATAGCCTCATACACCTTTTACAGCTATCCAGAGCTGTGAAACAGGTTTGTTAGCCATTTGCTAACGAGTGTCTCAGAACAAGGAAAAGTCATTTCTGTAGTCAGCTTAGCATTAGAAGGGGAGAGTAGCTTTTTGGGGGGTGACTATATACAATAAAAACATTACAGAGCAGATCAGTGAAGCAGAAGCACATCTTAACCTACTTCCAGATGTGCTTTGGTCATTCATGCTGAAGCAAATTAATACTGCCTCAGCTGCCTTTCTGTCAGCTCATAATAGAAACAACAGAGTAGCCAGTGTGTCCTCAAGTGTTGCAGTTCATAACCTTTTATCTTCATGGGTGGCTAAGAGGTAGATTTATCCTATATCTACTGGCATCTATGCTGAGCTGTATGCAATCAGCTGAGCATAGTGACCTCTGACTTGCATCATCACTTCTATGGGTCACATAGACCTTTACTATTAAAAGTAAGAATCTTCTGACAGATATAGTACAGGGCTTTATCTATGGTTTTTCATGTAGTTCATGCTTGGGGGAAAGAGGGGGAATGCCTGTTTCCTCAGATATCCTCTACACTGGTTTTCCTTTTGGTTCCCATCAAAAGTAAAAACATTCCAGGATTTTGCTTCATCTTTTCCTTCTCCAAACAGAAAATAAAAGTTGTGTTATTTCTGCACTAGCTATCTGGATAGATTAATTCATGTTCAGGAAGTATTTCAGGAAGTGAAGGTCATTATCTTTTGTTGTCTGTATCCTATTCAGTATAGTTATAGCAGTAACAATGATTCTTTATAGACAGATTTTAACACGAGCTACATGACACTGAATTCTGGTTTCACATTATTGTGTTATTCTGTAGGCTTAACATCTAGATCAAGTGATCATTTTGGCATAATAGCTCTTGTTCTCATCTTTAATAAGTATGCTGCTAGTCATCTATTGCAAGCCATTTCAAAATGGTTGTGCAGCCTAGATCAGAGTTGCGAATCACTGTTGCCAGAGTCATTCTTGGTACTTATGTTATATCATTCCTCGCCTCCCCTCCAAAAAATAAGCTTCTGTATATTGAATAGAAATGTGCATGTTATACTTGAAGTTGAAATGATGAGACAAGGTTTTTGAAATGAACTGTGCACATTCACATTTCCTACTCCCATTTTCTTTCAAGTCCTTCTTGCCAAGTATTTCTGAAGGGAAAAAAAATAAATCTAGAAGATATTGTTAACCTAGGTAGTGCTGTCCAACCTGGTTACAGCTATCATAGCCTTAAAGGTGTAAGGACTGAAGACCTGAAGAAAGATTTGGGCACCTGATTTTGTCTTTTATAACTATGCTTATCTAAGTAAAGATAACACTTTTCTCAGTAAGCATACATTGTCAGGGTTGTTCTATGCTTACTCCAGAACAAATTCTTGTAGATTAAGCCTGTTTGCTTCTATTTTGCATGTAATTTTTCTAATAAAAATTTTGTTAATCAGTTTATTATGTTTATTCAGCAAGTTTTGAACAGCTGTACAGGAACTGACAAGGTACTTCATTCTGCTGTCACTTAGAGAAATTCATAGTAGTAAACTAAGTGTTGGGAAACTGTCTTATTACAGAAAATAACATTTTTATATTTAGAAGGTTTTCTGAGAAGCTTTGAAGATCAGATACTTTTGGGAAACAATTTAAAATGTATTCAAATAAATTCCCCAGAGGTTCTAAGATTTGCTTCTTAAAGTATTTTTTCAAAACATTACATACATGAAAGTATATGCAATTGCACTGGGCATTTACAAGGTATTTCTCCTGCATATCCTGATGAATTTGTGTGGTGCCATCACAGTGAATGACTAATTGATAAGGGCTTTCCAAGGAGACTTGCAGTGACCAGATTACTTGTGATCTCAGACTCAAATTTCCCATTTGATAAGATAGAAATAGCTCTCAAGTAGACTGTAGTTTTAATGCATTAAGGTGTGCATTGCAGTTATTTGCTATAAAATATGGTAATTGAAATGTATTTTTAAAAGTGATAGATCATTAACTACACTAGCTATTTTTCTTCCATTCAAAAAAGTATTTTCCTTACTTTTGCAGAGCTGCAGGTTGTATGCAACAAAACACTTACGAGTATTACTGAGAGCAAATGTGTAGAGTTCCAGCAACTGGGGGATTGAGTTACTGGTGACTCAGTTACGTGATAAAAACAAAACTATTTCTTCTGAAGCACTTGATATTCTCGATGAGGCA